TTTGACGAATCTCGGAAATGGAAGAAGTGTCCAAATAATAGAAATCCAAGAGGGTGTATTACAGCTCTTTTGGTGTTTTTAATTGATTCTTCCCACCTTGTTTTATTAGTATTTATTCCTCAATTGCTCCTCTCGTTTTGCTTTGCCAATAACCTCTTTTCGAAAATGTTTTAATTATGTATATATATTAATATTTTATTATGATATATGTACGGCTTATTGTATTTTGTTCAATTTTTTATACATGTATAGTTTTATGTTTTAAATTTCATCCGTATACATTTATATACATACTATTAATGCACATATTGCAAATATTGTAATATATTGTTAAGTGCGATTGGTTGTGTGTATGATGCTGTGGATCATGAAAATGATATGCATCACATTTTTTAACCACACCGGGTATTCAATATTTGTATATCCGACAGTCCGCAGTCTGTAAAGTGGGACGGGAAAATGTGTTGCATTATATTTTTAGTAATAAAAAAATAAAATGAAGTTAGCGAAAACTATTTGTAACTTTTATAGTAATATTTGAAAAATGTATAAAAAAATATATATTTATGATATAAATATTATTAAAAATAAAAGAATTTTTAATAATATTAGACAAATTGTGTTAGGAGAGTTTCTGAGCTTTGTGTTAACTAATGTTATTAACATTATTTAAGAATGCATTATTGTAGATTGAGAAACGGTATATTTCTCTATCTTAAATAATGCAAACTTAAATAATGTTAATAACATTAGTTAACACATCGCTCAGGAACTTACTATTATAACCGGTTATATTCATATTGTTATGCGCCTATAGATTTGAATATCCCCACTACTGGTCACTTGACCCTTTTAGTTCCAATTTTTCTACCTCAGAGGCATTTTTTTTTAAATCATGGACATAGGGAAGATTCGAACCAAAAATCTTGGACATTACCGACACGATCTTGAACATTGGCTACATAGTTCAATGTCCATGTTTTGTGGACATAAGTGGCGTTTCAAAATAAAGTAACAGCTAAATCCCGGGCGGCGGGCATGGCCGCTCTCAGGCTTCTCTCTACTTGTACACATAGTGACTTCAAAAACTTTTAAAAATAATTATATTTCTCCTTTTAAAAAATTAGATGTAAAATGATTAATCCGTAACTGGAACATACTATGGGTTCTAATGACCTTGGAACATTTTAATTTGTAAATAGTCATTCGTAATAAGAAATCATTTGAAATACTTTTATATTTCACAATCGTATTTTTCATATTGCTCTATTCTGTGTATATGTAGTCTAAGTTCAAGAGTTGCAATTTTTGATATAGTTAAAACTTTTAAAATAACAAAAAGAATTTAGTAAATCCTAGAGAGTCATATATTCCTTTAGCATTATAAAAATAAGTGTTCCTGTTTCGGGTCGATCGAAGTTTCATCAAAAAACCACCATGTACTATTACACTGTACTCTTATAGTAATATTAATGCACTAATGTTCATATAAAAAATAGATCCTAATTAATTAAACAAGTACAAGCCAGATACGATACTTTCCCCAAAGGTTTTTATTCAGCTTTATTTATACAATATAGAAATTTAATGACAGATGGAGATCTTCATTGCAAATAGATGGATTTGTAAGTTTGCACGAATCCAAATTGTTTGTACAATAGACGAACAGAGTTCTTATAAATTAATATTATTATCTTTTACAATGGTTTGCCGTGATCTCCGCTCGCTAAGTACAATACGTAAAAGGCATCCTACACCCAATAGTATGAATACAATTGCGTATGTAAATGTTAATAAAGAGCAGATTATTAATAATTACCGACACAAACTGCATTTTCGTTCATTTTTTTAACATTGTAACATATATTTTATCATTAATCTTTGTGTATATGTATTTATATATACACGTACATATACATAAATACATACATTTATTTCATATATATATATATTTATAGAAAATTATACTAGCTACATTAATATATACATAAAAAGGCAAATGTGAAATACCTGAACATTTCTCATCTCTTTATTTTATAAAAATATGTGTTTTTATTATGTTTTTTCGTATTTCAGTGAATGCTATCTTAATATATTGTAGCATTACAGCGCGTCGCAGTAGATGTATATTCATACATACTTGTATTATTCACTATTTTATTTGTAATATACATTACAATGTGTTTTGTTTGTGGTCTATATGAATGGAGTGAAATACAAGCATCAATAAAAAACTATATATAATTAAATATAAATATATATATAAAACTATATACTGTTTAAAATGTCTACATACAAAAAATGAAAAGACTAAAAAGAGTAGACTGAGAAAAGAAAATAGAAAAATAACTTTTTGCGTTGTTTTTCGTTAGAAAAAAGAATATTATATAATTACAATTATTATACAATATTCAATACATACATAATTTTTATATATTATTATTATAAATAATTATTGTATGAGAGTAATTTCTTTTATTTCTTTAAATTTACTTTTTATAAAAAAAGAAACAATGTGAAAATATTAGCCTTCTTATTATTTTTTCATTTCTCTAATTATTTTTATATATCAACAGAGATTGTACGAAAAAGAAAATATATATACAGATATTTTATATATATAATTATATATATTTATATTTGATTATATAGATTTTTTTTATCAGATCTGTTTAAGTTGCTTCCTATATGGAACACAAATGGTTTGGGGATTAATTACTGCAAATTTGCTGCATCCCAATGTCTCAATCATTTGCCTTTTATCGCTTTACCCCTACGTTTTCCTCAATTAAATGCAATTTTACAATTTTGCATTATATATTCATAACGCTACCGCTTCTGAAACTGTAAGTGTTTCAAATCATGTGTAGTCTCTAAGTTCATAACACAATAAAGTTTATTTAATAATACATACGCGCGTAGTTAACATTTATTTTACTAGTATGGTCACATGCGTACGATGTACTCAATGCCATAGCGTTTATCCTCGCAATTTTTTGTGAGAGTGTGTCATAATTTTGGCAATTAAATACAATCATTAACAATAATCACGCATTCAATCAACTAGACAGGTAATAAACGTAAGAATCACTGGATAGGTACGTTTAACGCAATCTTGTGCTTTTATACCTCTGAAATGTATATATATATATATATATATATATATATATATAAAATTCAATTTATATATATATCATAATCATAGATACAATTCCTAGAAACAATAATATCGAAATACGATAAAATTTGCTTTGTAAATGTAAAAAAAATGAGCTTTTTAAATGTATAGTATATCACTGTACGTGTTACATGTTTACGTATATTAAGAAGATAACGAGCATATTTTACGCTTAAAGCAGGAAGATAGTAATTGGAATAAGAGGTTAATTTAGAGTTGCTTTAATTATGGTGACACAACAGTTCTCGTGTGTAATTCCACAATATGATAACCATCTTACTACGTTTTCTTAGTATTTATACGTATTAATAATTATAGATATTGTGATTTGATTAGACAATCACAGAAAAACTCGCGTACTATAACACATTTCATTATTTTTTCACAATATAAGTATCGCTACAAGGCCAGTATAGGCTCTTGAAACATAAGATCCTCTATTAATGTTACTTAAATAAAGTATAGGAAATTTATGAAGCTTTCGGTTTTATTTTATTATTAATTATTGGTCTTATTAAAGACAGTCACAACAGACAAGGTACATTATTATATACAAACAAATACAACATTGCCCGATACTCTCCTTTCTGTAATATAAAAATTTTTGATTATGGAAATGGAAAGATAATGCATGAAGCTATGATTTTTAAAGATGAAAAAAATGTATTAACACGGGTAATCAAAGTAATTGAAAACTGTAGCATCACCCATGCACACAAAAATCATACCAGGATTATTAAATCCTATCTTTCTTCCTACTAAAATCTCTAAATATGTTAAAAAGTCAACTGTCAGAAACCGCATAGAAGTCGCAATTTTTAATAAGGAGGTATCCTCGAATTTTCGTTGTTTATTTGGACACAGTGCGAGGTATATCAAGTCCATTTAAGATCATGAACTCTATTTTTTCACGCAATAAATCTATAATTATGCGTACGATATTCGCTCCCCAGCACCGTGTTTGCTTTCATTACGCTTTGGACGCGCTGCCTAAGAAAAACAGAAGTTTTTCAATAATCAATCACATTGGCATACGATCCTTTAGCAGTTCATTCCTTGTGCTCAGGATCAGGTTTGGTCTTCGGATCCATCGAAGACTGTCGTGACTGGTGCGGATTCGTCTGATTTCTGGGAACTAACAAAACGTTCCCATCTGCAGACTGTTGAAGACTGTATTCGTATGGATGGTACTGATTACCATCTGGATCCCGTAAAGACTAAAATATAAATTATTAAGTACAATTTTGTTTTTCTCACCCTTAACATTTTGAAGAAAACAAATTAACAAAATAATAGTTAAAAATAATGAAGTAAATTATCTACTGTTTAAATTATATTGTAAAAGAAACGAGACTAATTGATAATACTGACCTGAAAAACATGACGGTAAAGTTGACTAAATTTATCTTTTACCCGCTGTCTCTCAACGATCATGAACTCGCGCTCGCGAACGAGCCTCAGTTTACGATCTCGCATCTCTTTCACTTCGTCAGCTAAATTCATGATTTGATCCAATTTGCGTTTGCGACAATTCTGTGCGGCAACCTTGTTTTTTCCTCGTCTTCTAATATCGCGTATTAAAGACAGTTGTGCTTCACTGAGGTCATATTTACTGAGACGTTCGTTAAACTCATCCATAGGAAGGTTGATGATATCACTGACTGCAATCGGTACACTCAATGCTCTTGCTCTTTTCTCATCTCTCGTTAGATGTTCCTCCGCATCGCTTTTGCGGACTGAAATTCACGTTTTATATAGATAAAAAATATTTAATGTTGATAATCTCAGAAAAAATATCAGGATAATCAAAAGTATTGAAAAGATAGTTACCTTTCTTGTCACGAGAAATGGGACGTTGTAGAGATCCTGAGCTCTCAGCAGGTAAATGATAAGTGTGATTATGATGAACATGTTCTATTACAGATCGTCCTAAAAATAAAAATAGGTCAATTTTTTTTATTTGCACGAATATTTATTTGTTCATGAAATCTCTAGTATAATAGGAGGTAATATAATACAATATATAAATTTTTTCTTACCGGATTGATGACGGCTGAAATCCACGCTACAACTGTATTTAATTTCTTGCTGCGGCCCGGTCGCACCCTCGATTGGTCCAGAATATGTATTTCCCGGTGCACCTGCTCCGACTGTATGCGTATCATAGTCATATTTCATCGGAGTGGTTGGGTGTGCGGTAGCCCCTAAAGGTGAGCCTAGTTTGAAAGTTGTTTAACGATTAAAACTCTTTCATCGTAGTGGCTACAATCATAAGATTACTTATTAATACTAACAAGTGCCTTGTTCCTGAAAATATCGCTTGGCGAACATTTGATGTTTCTTCTGTGCGACTGGCGGTACTGCTCGTTCGGTTTGGCATCTTGGCGAGCCGGCATTTCTTGCGGACACTGAGTAGCTGCAGTCGTATGGCATGCGATATTTGCTACAATGCAAAAGATAATCATTGATAAACGTTGCGAAGTATACTACACTTAAATCTTTCTCATTTACAATCGTAAAATCTTGAAAATATTATTTCTCTTGCAGAAACAGACTACTGTGTTTTATTTCAATGTGACATTTATCTGATACTTTACATCTCGACACTCGATTATTCACACTGATATTACATTACTATATATTATTATAACAGTTATTATTCACGATTCACGATTAATCCAAGAAGAAATAGATTGTCGTTTTCTTACTTCTAATCTTTGTTATGAATGACGCATTTATGATATTAATTACCTCGCATAATCCATAGTGTAATGGGAGTCGGCTTGAGTATGGCTGGAATTGGATCCAGTTTCCATCCATTCGCCGTCCGACAAAGATGGTACGCGTTCGCTACCCATACTACTGACAGCACTATCGCTTGAAGCATCCATCCTTTCGTCGGCTACACCAGGTAAAGTTGTAACACCCGTAGCCGTCGAAGTTGTGCCGCCAGTCGTTTGGACACCTGATAAAGCCGTTGCACCGGTGGGTCCGGATGCATTGTTGCTACCATTGTCCAACATACGCATGGTATACATGCCTGGAACAGAATAATAGAAATACAATAAATTAGAGATTCTTATTCTACAATATTATAATTTATTATCTTGTACAGAATGAGCGTAATTAAGAGTATGTTTTAACAATTTCATATTGTTTACATCACATTGTTTATTTCACTTTAGTTATGGTTAATATGATGCTTTCGCGATGCAGAGTGTAAGTATATTTAAGTCCTTTTACCTGATATAATCACTTCTCTTATCTTTGTAAATATAGCTTTGTGTCTACAATCCTAAAAACATATGCGTACCGAAGTAGGCCATCGTCTATATTTCGCGTGAAAATTCTTCGGGGACGTAACGTTCACTCGCAAACATCGTGTTTACGTCAAGTTTAACGTGACTACAAAAAGCGTTTTACAGACGAACGAATGCAATTTCTGATACGTCGGTATTCGGGCCTTTCGATAGCAAACACTTCTTTGCAAACATGACATTTGCTACAACCGGTTTTTGCACAGATGACTATTTACAACATACGCAAGTTTTACGACTACCGATATACAACATCTGCGGAATACTCTTCGTTAGTGTAAAAATAAAAAAAAAAATGTAAAATTTAGTACTTATATAGATTGTCTCATTATTATTGTTCAAAAGAAATCATTTTAATATAACTCATATGTTTTGTAATGTATACATATGACAGGATTTTTATTTACTTTATGTCAATTTCATTACTATGATATATAAAAATGCAAATTTATTATATTTACATATATAAATTTATTGTTAGGATATATATATTTTTTAAAATTTAAGGAGATTTAACAACTCAAAATAATAGAAAATATAGGATATATCATTCATCAAACATGCAAACATCCTATTAACATCAATCGGATTTAAAGTCTATAGCGATTGTGCGAGATAAAATTGACAAGAAAAGGCGCGTACAAATATATAGGAAAGATACATGACATATAAATTCTGTTATCAGCAGATTATCATTGTTACAAACAATGTTGCTCTAGTTATAAGAAATAAAATTACTGCAAGCTCTTCATTGACCTATAAACAATTATTTTGAAATAAATGATTGATTTTTTTTAAATTCATTATATAAATAGGTAAAGTCCTATTATTTTTATAAGCAAATGTCAATCGATATATATATGTATATATATAAATAATAAAATTCAACAACCTTGTTTATAATAATTTTTGTAAATTAATAGATTATTTTCGTAAATTGTCAGTGAAGTTGATTAAAGATAGGTCATCATTCAACAATTAGAAACTTTTAATTTTGGATCTTTTAGATGTTAAACAAAATATTTTTAATATTTTATATAATTTAAATATCTTCATTTGTAAATCAAATTTTAATTCTATTAGTAAATTATATCGTACCTTATAAAAATATTGTTTTCACTTAAAATAAACATAAAATGATAATTACGAATGATATTGATAATTATGGCTAACCACGCCAACTTTATCTTATTTTTTTCGAAAACAAGCTAGATTTATTTTTATAATTCACAATCAATTTCGATACTATCCATAAAACTATAATCATTCACAATACACACAATGGATAAATTAAATTTTCAAAGTAGATCAAACTAGAGCATCAATTAGCATTAGGGAATAATTTTTTTATGTTTAAAGGCAACATTTACACTTAATTATTACTTATTTATGTTAGTAGTGTGGTAACGAAGATGAGATTATCTAAAAAATTCTTCATTTTCATAACAGTACACGTGTGCTTTCTTAAAATGACACAGAATATGCGTCTAGATACAATGCAGCTGATACAACGTTCTCGGAAGCAGTCAGCGTGACCAAGTACCACCGAACTGTACGTGACTAGTTCCAGGTTTAAGTCGTTATTATCAACCAGTTGCGAGAAAGAAAATGCGCCGCATTCTTTTTAACTTGCTCTTCTGCATATTGCGCGGTTCATCTGATTTATTCTCTATTCAGTTCTTAAAAATATGTAAATAAATAAAAAAAAAAATATAGACGCTTATACAATTTCACGATATCTTAATCACGAGAGATATCGTGAAATCGTAAGCAAGCGTCTATTATTTTTTTATAGCGAGATATATTATGATAAAATATAATTTATTTCTGGACTGATGTGATAAAATAATTTAAGATAAATATAATTCTAATCAATCCAGCACAACTTTCTCTAGCATAAATTTATAACGCAAAATGCTGTCTGCCATTGATTACTAAATATTATTATACATATGAGATAGATCGTTCTTATCATGCTTTCAAACGATAGATGCTAGCAAGAGATATTACTCTCATTTCCTCCTTTTGTAAATAAGATGATAAGAGCGAGCTTCCTAGAATTATATTCGCAATATTGTAGGACTTTATAATTTCCTTCCTTCTCTTCTGTGTTTTGCTTTTTGAATTTAATTTTACACATACTCAGACTTCTATTTACTATAAATGATAATTAATATTACATGTACATTCGTATATCTTATATTAATTAGTTTACAGTCTTACTGTTTAAATATTTTATTAGTATATTTAAGAATTTGTTAAAAGATATTCTTTAAAGAGAAGGTAATATATTTCACACGTAAAAAAAATCTGATATTTTACTTTATTATTTGAATATTCTTCACAAATACGTTTTATATTACTTCTCAGATTATAAAAAAACATCGCATGCTATTTTTAATCAATTTGTAAGCGCGAGTATATATCAGGTACCAAATTATCATGACTCAGCATGACACAGACAATACTGTTATCACGTCGTCAAGCGTTACTTCTCAAGGATCAGCCGCGCATTTAATTCGATGCCGCGTTACATAATACCCCTTTTTATTCGTCTAAACTCATTAGACCCTCATTTAACTCTCATTCTAATTTTATTATTTCTAAGATGATTTCATTAGCGGTGCGTGCGAGCCATTCGAGTTGTCATATAGGTCAGCGTATCGCACCGATGACGCAAATCGTATGATCGGGTAATGTAAATACATATGTATATATATATATATATATGCTATCTTTTTTTATAAAGCATCGATTGAGAGACGCTATCCATATTTTTCTGATTTCCTGGTCGTGTAAGTCAGGGTCGATAAACATGCAACGCGATCGCGACATGAAAATTCGAATGACGTTGCAATTTTCACGTTTTGTTTCTACTGGCCGGATATTGAGTGAACGTTTACGCCGCGGAACAGATAAGCGGTATAGGAAAATACGTGAAATGCTTTTCGAAAGTCGCATTGTCGACGACATCTTTTTTTTTCCAAGTCCCCTTATCGGAAATATTATAACAATTGTAAGAAAAACGTTCCCTTCAAACTAACAAAAGAGATCAACGAGAATAGCATTTTATTGGTTTAATCACTTTTCTCGATAGAGATACTCGATATTTCGATATCATTCTGGTAATTGTAAAAGATTTCAAGACGTAAATAAACAAGCTTGAGTTTTCAAATGAAACAGAATGACAGGAAGAAGTGCGTAAGAATTAAACGCACCGAAGTGAAATTACCTACTTGGAATATACACGATAACTCCCATCGTCGCCATTCAAGCTCATCGACGAGCTTGATGCGGTTCGGCGAAGAATCACTCGATTCTCTTCGTCGGTCCTACAGCTTGTTGAAATAATTGCGTTGCTTCTATTCGTTTCAAATTATTAATGGAGCATTCATGAAGAGGGGAGCGGCAAAAGTCTCGTCGTCGCGTGCAAACTGCTTCTCGCGAAGTCCATAAATTTCGGGATCCTCGCGACTCGACGAAGCTCGCCACGATGAAGACACGTGGACACGAGATCGAGCTCTCCGCTCTCCAGAGTACGCGGCTGTTGCGTTTAGCACCTCCGCTGGCTACGCCAGATGTTCCTTTCTCTCTTTCACAATAGTCACCGAGAGGGTCCCTCGGCTCTACCTCTCGCGCTAGCGCATATTAATTACGACCAAGCTAATGGAAGCTAACATGCTCGCCGCGCGTCTCGGCTAATAGAATCAACACTCCTAAGATCCTCTCGCAGCGTAACATGACCGCACACTTTTTCACCAGGAACTACCGCGGTCTCGCTTATGGGATAAAGTGGCCGAGGCTGGAAGACTTCTTCCGTCGCGTAGAAAAAAAAAAAAAAAGCATCCAGCAATACCGTTACGTACGTAAACGCGTTTGCTCCAAAAAAAATTACGCCTTAATTCACGTCAGAAGCGTCATATATCGTATAATCGAGCGGCGCGGCGGTAATACGAGCGCCGAATCTGCGACTGTGTGATAATAATACCACTCCTATCGAAATGTTACGTTTTCGCGATAACACACGCGAACTCCCGCGTCAGATCGCAGAGAAAGCATTCTGTCGATAGAACTCTCTCGTTCAGCTCTGATATTTTCGCGAGGTGGTCGACGCTACTCCAAATCTATACCTCACCGGACGTCTTATTTCGAATTGCATTCGTGATCGACGGACGATACGTGCGAATGTGCACGGCGTGGAAAATGCACGCGGCGACCGTCGTCGTTCATACAAGGAGTCGTCAAGTTATTCGTCGTGTATAGATAAGAATCGGAGCCACCGCACCGCGGCAACTTGTGGCAATTTGTGGCAACTATATGGTTCCGATTGGAGCGAACACGCGCGCGGCGGCGGCGGCGGCGGCGACGACGACGACGTTCTCAGCCTGGTATCCGCGCTGGTCGCGTAAACATAACTAGGTACTCGCGGCGCGGATCCGCGAGTCTGACCCTGCACGGGGCGTAACCACTCGTTCGGAGAGGCTGGCGACTAACGTCACTTTTCACTGCGGCATTGGACGGCGCCCGAGCACACGGTGGGAGCACCGTGTTGCTGACTGCGCGCTATAATTATATAGTATAGCGTATAGTGTAATTTCGTCGCGCCGAGTACTACGGGCCGCGAGGCTGGTTTATGAATCATTAACACGATCCGAAATCGTAACTGTTATTAGGCGCGCTCGGTGCGGCGAAAAGATCGATTCAGCGATCCGCATGCGGTACA